TTCCTCTGGAGTCTCAGTCTGTGTTTCTGCAAATCTGCTCTTGAGAAATGTAAAGGGAAGCTTCATATCTTCATCTGAGATTCCTGAAAAATGCCATTCCCTGCATCCTGAGAGACATTTTGGGACCTGGCTGGTCTCACCCAGTAGTTCTTCCATTTAGGTCTTGAGTATCTTTTTGTCCAGTTTTAGGCCTCATTTATGTTGTGTTATCCCAAATTAGCCTACTAGTGCCTCTCTTGCATGCCTTTCTTTGCCTACTGATAGTAATATTTCCCTCTACGCTAGGGAAAAGAAGTAGCTTCTGTGTTGGAATGCCCTTCCTTTCATTCTAATCCTACCCGTTCTCAAATTTTCAGCTCTGTTAGAACCTCTGTGAAGAGTTCTTTGGTAATCCATCTTGTCTTCTCCAATCCTGTAGCACTTTTCACCAACCACTTTCACACTTGTTACTTGTGCCTCTGATACCGGTGTGTCTGTGTATCTACTCACCTAATAGCCCCTAAAAATTTGGAAGATGTGTCAGCAATTTGCATGGTGGTTAAGGTGCTGGACTCTCACATGGCCAACAGTGGTTTGAGTCTCAGACCTGGTTGCTTGGAATTCATACCAAGTGCATGTGCATGCATACCCAGAATCCCAGAATGAAAATGGATGAGAAGGGATTGTGATGCAACTGTCCCCCATGGAGGGTGATTTCTCACTTTCCCTCTCACTGTCTCTCTCTTTGAGTGCATGTGCCCTATGGTAAAAACATAAACAAAAAATTTGGAAGACAGAGGTTGTGTCTTCTGTTACCCCTGGGTCTCACACATAGTAGATTTTCGATAACTATTTCAGAATAAATATGAGGAGTCTTCAAAAAGTTTATTGAATATACATATTGTGAAAAACCTATGTATAGGTTTCCATTTTTTTGCATCAAAATAAACTCATACTTTAATTCTCTTTGTCCTTGAACTTCTTGAAATCCCCTGTGCTTGTCCTCACATTTCCTTTATTATTATACCAACAGCATCGCTGAGGCTCAGCTGTCACTTCTGCACGTGTAGCTAGGTCTCCTGGAGGGTAGACACCAGGGACAACAAATGAGCGTGTGCTGCCATCCTGCCTTCACCCTGCCCCAGGCCTCTTTATTAAATTGTGGGTCTCACCATCCTCTGTGAATACTAAAGAATGACAGGTAATGGTTGCTCTGCAACGTGCCTTTGGATTGCACATGGTTCAGGAGCACAGAGGAAGTTCTCTTTCAGATTATTTTCAGTTCCCTTATTCCTCTCACCTCATCTTCCTCCTCAGTAGGCCTCATGGCATACACAGTTAGCGTGTGCCAGGGTGAAGGCCACCCCACGTGGCTCCGAGGTACAGTACGGCCCCATCAGGACTGGCAAGTGAGCAATGGCCCTGTGTCTACTCCAGCTGCTGATAGAGGGAGCCACCATGGACAGGGCTCGCCGGGCTTTCCTTCCCTTTGTTAACAGCTCTCCTGTGTTCCCGAAAGCCAGTGTGACTGAGAATCCTAAACAAACCAGAGTGGGAGAGAGTGGTAGCCCTCCCTTTTGGGAATCCCATCCTTTGAACCATAAATCGGACCGTCTCGTTGTCTAAAGTGACCTACACTGAGAGAGTTCTTTTTTCTTGAAGAAAAGGGCTCAGGCACGAACAGGGCTGACATTTGTCCAGTAATTACCTCCTACTGCAATTTACCTTATTCAGGTATTTTACTTGGGTCTCGTGGATTTCAGAGGGGTCTTTGTTGCCCCTCCTTTTATTGCAAATGGGCTTGTTCAAATCAGTATGCTTATATAAAACAGTGGGGAAAGCTGTGTGTTTATTTTTTTATTTTTAATTTTTTTTTTAGTGTACACATTTTACATTCTGCCTTTAAAGCTATTTTTGCTGCACAGCTGCCTCACTGAGACGCAGACTCCTACAGGCCCTGCTCGGCCCGCCACGTACCTTTAATATCCTTTCTCAGCCTTTGATTTCTGCAGTTGGTTGTGTAATGAGGGGGGAGTGTGCAGTGAGTTCGGAGATTCCTATTAACCAGGTCACCCATGAGTCTATTTTTGTATACTTCTATATTCACAATAGCAGGGAACATGATAATATTTAAACGCAATCACTTATAGGAGCTTGGTTTAAAAAATACAGCTTAGTCAATTTTCTTTTCCCATTTGACATTTCAAAATGTTGTACTACATTTCCCCATCATCGAAATACCTATTCTCCATTTACATTCTGGGGTGTGACTAGAGGCTGTTACAAATGGCCATAAATATTTCGGAGTGTCCTTTGGATTTGTGGCCCTCTGCCCTAGTTAGGCCATCTCAGGAGCGCCCCACTCTATTGTTGACGCTGTTTTTGAAGTTGTTCATAATGAAATAGACACAGGCTAAGATGGCAAGGCAGAGCAGGGCTTAGGAACAGACAGGAGAAAGCTATCTGCAAATATTTGGGAGAGGAGAGCTCATGAAAAAAGGAGAATAGGGCCAGTCATGGCATGGTGGTTAAGGCAGCTGTGTCCCACATGGCTGACTGCATGGTTTGAGTCCTGTACCCAGTGACTTGAAAAACACATCAGGCATCTGTGGGTGTATGCCCAAAATCCCAAGAGGAGAATGGAGGAGGGATTGTAGTGTGGCTATCCCCCCTAGGGGGAGGATGCTTTCCCCTATCCCTTCATTCTTACTCTCTCTGTGGCAAGTGCATGTGCCTTATAGCAAGTTAAAAAAATACAATTGTTTGGTGCTGTTCTTAAAGACAGAACTAATGAACAAAAGCTATTGGGTCATCAGAAAAGTCTTGATGCATTTTTGCACAGAAAAAACGTAGAAAAAATATATCATGACTTCACTGGCCCAATACATCGGGACAGTTTTTGACTCACCCTAAGGAAAACCTAACAGTGAGAGCTTGGGCCTCTTCGGAACAGGTGGCTGCCTTGTGAGGGGGGTAGAAACTCGACTCAGGGCCAGCCAGGAATCTGCCAGGAGTGGCCCTTCCAGAAATGACAGGCCCAGATCAGCTGTGAGACTCGGTGACCTTTAATGTCTGGCATAACGGATGGTTGCTCAGGGTACTGAAAAAGCAGAGGGGCTGTTGTCTCCTAGGAACAGAAACTGCAAATCCTTTTGAATAACTGAACACAAAAGCCTTGAATGGGTGACACTACAGCCAAAGCCAAGGACAGAAAGTACATTTGGAGTTGTTGAGGCAGGTGGCCTTTATTTCAGGCTGATCATTTACTTATGGGAACTAGCTGTCTAGACGGTTTCAGAAATCACTTCACATGGGCCACAAGCCTTCATTTTGTTGTGCTGTTCAAGACTTGGCCAGCGTTTTTGCATCATCAGGATGCCATTAAAAACATGGAAATGGAGGTGCTCTCTCACATTCCCTTCCTTTCACTCTCCCTCTTTCAAAGGCAGACAGTTCTGTCATTACAGAGCATCTTTTCATACACTTTGGGCTTGATTGCAGTTGTCTGAGGAGGCATGGCAAATGTGATTTTCTCAATTTTCATAGGGGGAGTCTGAGATATAGAGGGTTGAGTGACATCCAGCATGACTTGGTAGCATTAGGCCTGGGATGGATCTGGCATGTGGAAGTGGGAATTGTGCAAGTGAGGTGGTGTTTCTGGCCATGCCAATCATGGCACTGTAACTTTGCATGATCGTTTAGATAAGATGAGGGTGTTGAAATGGGTTGAGCTGCAACATGCCCACCACGTGCCTGTTGTCGGAGGGTCTCTTGTTCCTCCATCCAGCAAGCTTGCTTTCTGCCTTGCAGGTGGGAGGTGAGAGGAAGTGGAGAGTGTGGGCTGGGTGTATTGCGCTCGGATGCACCAGCGTGTGTTTTCCGGATGGATACCTGACACTTCATCGACTGTGAGACACGATTCTAAGAGATCATTTTCACAGGCTTAAACCCTTAGCTGCATTTTGATTGAAGGCTGGGAATCTGAGGATCTGCTTTTTTACCTTTGTGGGTTCCATTGTGGTGTAGAGGGTTGGAAGTGGATCTTAGGAACTTCAGCAACTTAGAGGTAGAAGAGCCAGCATGGATGAAGAGGGCTCCTCATGTTACCAAGTATGAGGAAAGTTACAGTTAAGCCTAATTTTAGTTTCAAACTTTTTAAGTGTAACTATTGAACTTAATACTATGGTTTCACTTATAAGGCATTTAACAAAGTTAACTTGTTCCTTATGTACAAAAGTAATATATGATCATTGTAGAAATTTTAATAAATAAAGAAAATTATGAAAGTTATTTCCTATAATCTTCCAAAGACAATTGCTATTAAAATTTTGTTAAAACTTTCTGGCATATTTCATACACACACACACTCACACACATATATATGTGTGTATATAAATTTGTGTGTGTGTATATATATGTATATAATGTGTGTATACATGTTTATGTATTTGTATATATACACACATGCATACATATATATACACACACACAAATTTAGTGTAATATGGTACCTACTTATTTGTAAACCTCTTGTTATTAGTTGTACACTTTTTCCTATTTCATCAAATATTCTCTTAAGAAATATTTGATTTGAATTTAGATTTGTGAGCCACACACTATTCTAGCATATGGATGTATCAAAATTCATTTAACCTATCTGCCATCGTCAGCAGTATTGGGTGCTTACGATATTTTGTCCATACATATCATATATAAAAATATCTTTCAACTAAATCTTTGACAAAGCTTGAGATATAAATATGATTTGTTCAAACAGAAGAACAAAAGCTGGATGCCTGTGTTTTTGGGTGCCAACAACCTATAGGGGATTTATGAGAAAACGATGAGCCGTAGACTGTGGTTAATCGATACGGTAACGTGAGGGTTTGGGCAGGCTTGCCCCGCCGTTACCACCCTCAGCCCTGTTACTGGGCTGCGGGCTTTTCACATGGTTGATGTCCTGCACCAGCGTCAGAGCAGTGGCCTCATTTTTCTTTTCTTTCCTGTTGATTCTCCTTTAGCCTGATGAAGTCCTCCGATATCGATCAGGATTTATTTACAGACAGTTACTGCAAGGTGTGCAGTGCTCAACTGATATCTGAATCTCAGCGCGTGGCCCATTACGAGGTAAGGACAGCTTTCCTGTGTTTTCAGGTGGCAGAAAGGACAGTGTGGGTCGTAACTGTAGGGCCCTAGGACACGCCCTTCTGGACTTGCAGCAGATTTCAAAGACTACAGGGCGTGAGGCTGCATAATCTGAGGTGACTCAGAGTGCATGCACATGGCGGGTGGGGAGTGAGGGCCAGGGCAGCCACTCACAGACTCACTCTTTTGAAATTTGCACTTCAATTCCTGGAGACTTGAGGGGCGCTCTCTACTTGTTATATCTGTAATGGTGTCCTCAGAGTTCCCTTTAGGGCTCAGGGCCAGGTGCATTAGAGCCAGCCCCTCTTTATGTTAATCATCCTGCAGGGAGATGCTTCACTCCAGGGCTGCTTGCAATGGGACCAAAGCGGGGCATGGGGTTCATGTCACCCCCTCAGATTCTTCCCCAGACGCCGATGTCCTGAGAATGCTTATCCTGGTAGAGACTCCTCTGCAGAGTCATCACAAAGTCTGAAAGGACAAATGCTCTTGACATAATTCAGTGGCTTTAGTTATTTAGGATGGATGAATGAATGGCTTTCTGGTTTTCTGCTGGTTATTTTGAAGTTGCTCCTTCCTCCCTCTCCCCCTCCTGCCCCTTTCTTTCTCCCATGAGTAAGAGAAGGGCAGAGAAACAGCATCCCAAAATGGTATTGATGTAATGGTCTACCCCGAGCCTCAGCCAACCCCGGATAAGGGGCCCAGCATGGTCCAGGAGGTCTCTGGATATGAACCTGAAACCCTCCCATATGGGTCAGCTTCCCAGAGTGTAGTGTTATCACTGTGCCACCGCCCAGCCCCCGGTCCTCTGTTGGGAACAGAGGATGAGAGAAGAGAGGTTGGCCAGTGTCCAAGGAGGGATGAGATGCCAGGATGCGGTAACGGGAAACGGGGTCCCAGGATGCCGCGGGCTGCCAGGCATGTTCTCTTCTCTGGAGGACATCTGCCATTGGGGACAGGAGTCTTCGAGAGTAATAACCTGTAAGCAATTTCAGATTGGAGAGCTTAGCCAGCAATTTTCCTTTTGTCTGACAAGTCTGACAAATGCCAGTTGTCACTGTCACTCACCAGACTCCTCTGGGTAACAGAGTCTTCTATGCACGACGAAAATAATAACAACACAGACACATGGACACCCAGAAAGGCAATAAACTGACCCTCCAAACTCCTTAAGGCTTTGTAGTGACCCAATGAGATCTATTAAAAAACATATTAAGGATACTGGGGAATGCTTTGGAAGCTGGAAAGGGTGCCAAACATGCAAAGTTATATAGGTAATTGTTATTAATAATAACTCCTTCAAGATAGTGTATGTGTGTTTGTTTTTAATTGCCCATGGGCATGCGTGCTTGCCAGAGAGAGAGGAGGGGGGAAAGCCCCATTCAGTGGGGCGGGGCCATGCCACAATCCCTTCTCCTGTTTCTCTATTTATGGTGTGTGCACACACATGTGCCCAGCATGTTTTGCAGGCTGCCAGGGCTGAAACTGAAACTGCAGCCAGAATCTGAATTGTGGTTGACCATCTGATATCAGGCTCTCTTAACCACTATGCTGTAGGGTTTAAAACAATGTTTGTTTTGAGAGAGATTTTTGCTCTAGCGTGTATACACTCGCCAGAGGGACAGACAGAGACAGAGAGACAGAAAGTAAGAAATCAGCCCCCCCCCGCTTCGGGGAATGGCCGCGTTCTCCTCTCAGGATTTTGGGGATGCATGCACATGTACCCAGCATGAGTTTCAAGCTGCTGGATCTGGGACTCAAACCACAATTGGCCATGTGGAAGTCCTGTGATGTAACGATTACACCATCTGCTGGTCCCTAAAACAGTGTTTTAATAAAGACAGATAAGACTTGCTCTCCAGAGAAAACTTAAAGTCAGCTTCTGTGAGTGGGGAGAATCAATATATTCTTTTTTCAAGAGGCAACTGAGTGTTAGAAGGAGTAAATGTGAACTTAAAAGTTACCTTGAAGTGAAAAAGTGCATCTTTTGAAATAAGAGCTTTCTAATTTCTGTGGATGATACTTTATAAACACACGTGGTTTTATTAATATGATTTCCCCAGTTAAGGAAACAGGGACATTCGTTCCTGCTCTGAATTCCATAGGCTCTTATTAGTCCCTTTTGTTCTTCCTTGGTTAAACATTCTGTGTTCACTTTTAACCATCTTACTTGGTCACTGAAGACAGGAACATTTCTTTTGATCTACCATAGTTCGTCCCAGGTAAGTTAGCCCTGCGGAGTGGGTGGTGTGCTCCAGAAGTGTATCAGTGACCCTCTGCAGCCTGTTGTTATCCGAACTAGAAAACTAATGTCAGAACATTGAAAACAGCAAACAATGCGTAAAAGAGAAAAATCTTAGCAGCTCCATTACAGGTTTCGTTATTTGATTGTAAGTTTTCCTGTTAATATACTGTATCCTTGCTGTGGCACACTCTTAATTGTTTAGAAAATGTGTTAGTATTTGTTGAATGTAGCATAGATGAGATAGAGAAAATAAAGCAATTACAATAGATCTGCAATTAACAGTGTTACACATCATCAAAACAACATTAGATGCGTCCCCATTAAATGTGCACCGGGACTGTGTTCACTCCCTGCCTCCGGGCGGAGGTGGGGCCCTTCCTTCTTGAGAAATGGCTGGTGTGATCTAGCTGCCAACGTGCTGGCATGTGCGAAGGGCACAGGGCACCTTATGCCAGTTTCTCTCATCCCGCTGCCTTTGGAGTTCCCCAGTACTGCCACATCTTCATCTCTGTGGGGTCAACTCGCATCAGATGGTCTCTAAGCCCATCTGAAAATGGATATTCTGAGTTTATCAAGCTGCTCCCTCCCCACCCGCTCTCTGCTGAAATGACATACAGAGCTGGTCTCTGTGAGATCAAGATCTCAGTCAATTCATTTAAAATGCTGCCACACTTACTCTCAACGCCCTGTTGCTGATTTATTGTTCGAGTACCATGGCAGTCTTCAGTTGAGCATGATCGTGGTCTCAGCTTCCCTGTGGGGCACATCAGGGAGAATCCCCTCTGTACCTTCTGTTCGTTCAGCCATAGTTATTTAGTTCTTGCAGCAGATTCTGAACCTATATGGGAAATGGTCTCTGCTTCCAAGAAGCTTGTGAAGGTCATTGAGAGGAAGTCACGGGTGGCTCAGTGTGGTGCAGAGCGGTGTGCGATGTGGAGTGCAGGTGCAGGGTCTGTGGCCTGCTCGCAGGAGCTGCTGGTCTCATCTGATGCAGCGCTCATTCTTTTGCACATGTGGCTTCCTGATATCTGTCATGCTGTTGACTTTTTAGATCTTGGCATATTCCAAATGGAGAAGAGTGGGCCATTACTAAGAGCTACTGTGGTCAAGAAAGACACGTTGGGGAGTGTCATGATTTACTGGGTCTCTGTGGATGGGTTAAGTTCAGGGGCTGCTGGGACGAGAAGAGTCTGGGTATCTCCCGGGGGTATTGAGGAAGCTGGGCTGGGGGGTTTGTGTTAGGGAAGGGGAGAACCATATCCTGTCTAGATAGGGGAGGGGTCAGGGTATAAAGGAAAAGGGGAGCTTGGACTCTTGTGAGACTCGAAAGCATTTGGGAGGATACTAATATAATTGAGTATTTCTAAATGACAGTCAGTGGGGGCATCAGGGTATATTTCTAGGGAAAAGACAGCATTTGCTATGACTTTTGCTGTGAGACTAGTGTTATTAGTCCTCTGAAGTACGAGAGAAAATCAAAACAGATGGGTTAATGCCTAATAGTCGTACGCCCCATTTAAGAGGCTTGAACCTTCGTATGAGAGGACAGAAAAACCTAATACATGTCTAATGGAGCAAATCGTTCCCTGCTACATTTTCAAAACCTTTTTGCATATGAAATCCTGAGGTGAAAAAAATAAAAGGAAAACATGAGGGCATTATTATTTCTCGTACTAGCTAAGCATTAATAACATGCTAATGTTTCAGTGGAAACTATAATTAGATATTGTCTCTGTGCACTGGATGAATAGCCTGAATCAACAAAACAAGCAGACACAGACACAGACGGAGAGGAAAAGCTTTCCAATGAGAGTGCCCTAAATGTTGCAGGGGTTAGAAACTGTTTCCCAGTGAGGCCACTGGGCTAGCTTGCTGTACTTTCAAGTGGCTGAAAGATAATTTCCTGCAAAAGCAGAGAAAGGGAAGATTTCTGGCATCTAGAAAGAAGAGAAGTCATAGAGGGCAGGCCACAAGAAACTAAAGCTAAAGTCCAGACAGAAGGTCTTCAAGTAGTTTGTGGAAAATGTATGTCATGGAAAACTATATAGGGATTTCAAGTTTTTTTATTTCAATTTTTCCATGAACTTTTGATGTTTCCCTCATGTGTGTCCCCCACATGTACGTCTATCAGTCATTGATCAGTTCATCAACTGATCACTCTGTGAAGACGATGAAGATAAATGAGCAGATCTAGGAGAGAGAAAGAACTCTTGCTGAGCAGGTCTCATAATGCCATCCATAAACGTGTCCTATTGCTCATCCCTTCCAGTGAACCCTGCTGACCGTGGTGCCACTGCTGCCTGTCTAATTAATTGCTTCTTGTGAAATCCGTGCCCAGGTGTCCTGGTACCTCCACATCAGGTTGTGAGCCTCCTAAGGGCAGGCAGGAGTTCGGCGTGAGTTTTTCAGTTTCCTGTAGCACCTGCTGTAGGATTGCTCATGGTGCTGCTCATTGGCTCTTGCAGGCAGGTAAACAGGCCATGGTGGAGGCAATAGTGGGTTTGTCTTAATGGAGGACCTTGGTGTCTACACCAGAGGAGGCTATGGTATACATTGGAGTCCATCCATACTCAGAAGGCTAGAGGTGATGGCTTCGTAGTTACGATAAATACAATTCCCCAAACCAGTGGAAAATTCTTCAACCATCTCCACATCCTGATGTGCTATCAGTCCTGTAGAATGAACCCTGTTAACTCACCCGGAGCGGCAGACTGGAGCATCATCCACTCTTCGGTGT